CTCTACCACTGTTCTAGCATTAATTCTCATCGGAGGGATGGCCTCAGGGAATCTTGTAGTCATATCCATGATGGTTAACAGATAATGGAATCCAGATTTAGTTCTTGGTAACGGACCTACACAATCTACCAGTACTCTAGTAAACGGTTCCTCACAGGCTGGAATAGGTATCAGTGGGGCCGGCTTAATAGCTGGCTGTGGCTTCCCTATCAGTTGACAAGTATGACACGTCCTACAATAATCTACAACATCCTTGTGTAACTTTGGCCAATAAAAATGTTGTAATATCCTAGCATGGGTTTTTCTGATACCCAAGTGTCCTGCTACTGGAACTGAATGAGCCAATCTAAGGATTTCACTACGATAACTAGGTGGAACTACTATCTGATGTACTACTCTCCATTCTTCCTCTGCGGGACTATCAGAAGGACGCCATTTTCTCATCAGAACACCTGAACTTAAATAGAAACATTCTGGAACAGTTTTGGCTTCTTCTGAGCTCAACGCATTATCTACTAAGCTCCTTAAATTAGTGTCAGACTGTTGTTCTTTAATCAGCTCATTTCTATTGAACATTGGACTTTTAGAACTAGTCTCATCCAAATCACTATGTAGATCGTTAAAAAACGTTTCAGCTAATCTAACATCTACATCTTCAAAATGACAGGATTGCTTCAGATCTTCGGCGGCGCTTTTAGATTGTGATCTAGTTACGACACAGGCAGGGAATATTCCTGGAAACTCTACTTGTAAACATTCTGTTCCAACTCTAGCTTCTGGTTTATCTATCACATGAGGTGAGGCACATACTTTATTACCAGCTAGGTCATTGCCTAACAAGAAACTGACTCCCTCAATAGGAAGTGACGAAACTACGCCTACAACTACAGTGCCATTAACTAACTCGGACTCTAAGTTCACCTTATACAAAGGTACTGACACATAACCTCCCTCGATACCCTGAATTAAAGCAGAAGCTTTCTCTAGACTAGAAGAGGACAATGCAATAACATCTGCAATCATTAAAGATTGAGCGGCCCCTGTGTCTCTTAAAATAACTACAGGTTGTTTCGTACAATCGTCTGTGATTAATGAAACCTGACCTGTTGACATGAAGCTCCGATACACATTCGGCACTTCCTTCACAACCTCATTCTGCAAGTTACACTTAGTCTTCACCATACTCTGATCATCTACAGCTACTAGGGTTTTAACTAAAGCAACTGGCTTAGGGGATTTTTCTTCCTCCTGTTTCATGTCTTTCTTCCATTTCCAACATTGAGCTTTTGTGTGACCTTTCGTGTGACAATGATCACAAGTTGGTCCCGAAAAGTAAGCTTGTCTATTTTCATGAGGAACACTACCTGGTCTGTTATCTACTCCTGGAGAAACCTGCAAACCCTTCTGATCTCTATTCTTATCACTTTTCTGGTCATACAACTTCTTATTCCTAGACCAACTCCTGTGCTGAGCCTGTTGAGGTTTATTTAACCTATGTGTTAGTTCGTACTCATCTGCCATTACTGCTGCCTGACGTAAACTATTTGCTTTATGTTCGTCTAGGTGAGTCTTAATTTCTACAGGAATGCTATTTTTAAACTCTTCGAGCAATACAACTTCCCTGAAATTTTCAAACTTCTTTTCAAGTTTTAGAGATCTATACCACTGATCAAGGACTATCTCTTTCTCCCTAGCGAATTCTACAAACGTGTGTCCATGCTGCCTTGACAGCCTTCTAAATTTCTGCCGATAGGCTTCAGGCACTAAGGCGTATGCCGTTAAGATAATGGCCTTAACCTCGTAATAATCAGAGGACTGCTCCTCGGACAGAGTACTATAAAACTCCTGAGCCTTACCAACGAAAACAGTCTGTAGTAACAGTGTCCAATTTTCTACCGGCCACTTCAAACGATTCGCAATTTTCTCAAAAGAAACAAAGTAAGTCTCCACGTCCTTTGTGTTTAACTTAGGAACTAACCTAATGTGTTTGGTCAAATCAAAGTAAGAAGATGCTTTAGTGACATCCTTATCTTTCTGTTTTACATCGATTTCAAACAAATGCTGCTGATGTTCTAGCTCTAACTTCCTTAATTCGAATTCTCGCTTCTGTTGGCGTTCAGTGAACTCTAATTTTAGCCTTTCTCTTTCTAACTCTATCTTGGCTAGCTCTATTCGGTCTTGACTACTAGGCGTACCTACTAGTCCTCCTAACTGTAAGTGAGTAGGAATGACATCTACCAATTCAGCCTTCCTAATGTTAGAGGAAACTGTCAACTCTAAATGGTCAGCTATGAGCCTAAGCTCAGCCTTTTTAAGAGTCTCTAACTTACTCAACGACAAATATTCTGCCCTTAAAAATGTTTGAACATCAAAATGACTAGCCATGGTGAAACACGGGCAACTAAGATACAGGTACAACTATCAATTAATTATACATGAACTGGTTTCGCCAATATATAACTATAAGCAATTCATGTCCGTTTCTTTTCCTATAATTTACTGGTATTCAATTTCATTTCCCGGACAAGCCCCAAATTTGTTATGATCCCCAAACCAAAAGAGTAAACCCAACCCCGAAATTTACTCCCCAGAAACGGAACCAAAACAAAGTGGACATGAATAAAGCAAAGGCAAACCAGTTCACACCTTAATTAACAATTAATATTATTATTTCAACAGAACCAATACAAAATACTTTACACACAAATTCAATTTAAGAAAATACCACTATACTATGATAGATTACCAGAGAGTGAGGTGGGGCGAGCAGGGTGTCTAGTTCATAGTTCTTGTCTTGATGGGTGTTCCATGATGATTCCGGTGATGAGCAGCAGGAAAAGGGGAAAAGGGGTTCCTCTAACGGGTCCTCCCGTTAGGCAGCTAGCACGGTCAGTACGCCGTACTCGTGAGTTCACGCACGTCGGGATCAGTACCCCCGTGAAGTGACATCAGGGTCCGGTAACTCAGACCCAAGTCTCTTGTCCGACGAAGTCGCCAAACCCAAACCAGGCAGCACCCTGGCGGTGCAAACTCCAAACTTGCTTGAAGCTTCAATCTGCTGTCCAGTCGACGAGCGACATTCAGGGGGAGATCATCAGACAGCAGACTCCCGGTCTTGGTCTTCAGGCGTGTGCCCCGGGGAAAACTCCCCAACAGCCGGCAGTGGGCACAGTCGTGAAACTCACGGTCCTCTCCGTCCGATGGTATGGGATGAAAGGCACACCCCAAAGTTCGTCGATCCATTTTATACGGGGACGAACATTCCAGGAACACCCCCGATGCATACCGTAAATTGTAACTTTCCGCTCTCCAAATTTTTAACGATTGTTCATTCTAATTTGCATATCTAAACTGCTCGCCCCAATTGGGTTAAACTGTTCGCCCCTTGAATAGTTAAAAAAGGTTTAAGACATGTTTCAGCCACTATTTTCTTTAACAAGAAAATTGATATTATGTAATACAGTTTTAAATGCCACCAATAAATAATACACTACTACAACTTTGGAATAAATATTAATTATACATCATCTTTAGAATATAGAGATTACAAACATTTACTTGTCAATATAAACAGAATAAATCTGTCTTGTTTCACATAGTCACATTTAAACATGCTGTTTTGCTGGAGGTATTCGGCCAGGAAAATACCGGACAAATGATGATTTGTCCATTATTCATAAGTGTGTAATTGTTTCTGTTTTCGAATGACGATTTATCAATATGAAAAAAACCCTCACAATTTCATTCGAACCAATGATCACATTATTTCATTCCTTACTCAAGTATAAACGTTACCGGTTTTCTTTGTTCATTTTTTTTTCAGCCTACACTGAACTCCTTGTGATCTCTTCTTGGACCTGATCTTTAAGTCTTCATAAGCGAACCATCGAGGTCAGTGTGGTGATGTTTAATTGATTCTATCATGACCGTGGAAAGGGCGTGCCATCCCATAAAAAAACTGATGTAATTCGGTCTCCTTTCCAACTTTTATCGGCGGGCTAAACAATAATACTAACAAGTCCAATAATGTGGCGTAGCCAGGAATTTTTCAGTGTGGGGGGGGGGGGGGGGGGCGCTGGGGGGGGGGTGCTTGAACATTTCATGGGGGGGGTGGGGCGTCATGTAGATCAATGATTAGAAACTCAAAATCTCGGGGGGGCGACTGGGGGGTGGCGACATGGTTTCATGGGGGGCTGTCGCCACCCCCCCCCCCCCCCCCCCCCCCCCCCGTGGCTACGCCACTGAATGTGGATTGCCCGTAGTTACCATGGCAACCGATTTAACCCTAAAGGGGCCGGGGGGCGGAATCCGCCCCCCTCAACATTTTCCGCGATAGCTTCTAAAAAATTTTTTTTCGCGACCCGAACTGTTATGACTTTTTAGCCTCGAGCATTGCGCATCTTTTGATACCAAAAACATAAAAATCGGACCACGTAGCGAAAAAATTTTCGGCGCTACGCGCCGTGAAAACTGAATTTTCGCATATACGTCGTGTACACCGAGCAGAATTGCCATTCATACATATGAATAATTAATTAGCCATAATTCCAAAACCCTTTGACCTATAGTCATGAAATTTCTTGGGCATGTTAAGGAAGAGTTGCTCTATGCATGTGCTGAGTTTCAAAATTTTTCGTCACTCGATGGCCGAGATCTTAGGGGGGGGGCGGAATCCGCCCCCCCCCCCCCGGCTGAGAGATGGTCAAAATAACCCGGCCCCTTGAGGGTTAAAAAGAACCCACCTTTTCATTTACATCTATCCATTGCCCCCCCCCCCCCATAGGCCACTGCCATATCAAGCCGACACATTCTCTGAATAATGATTTCCCCCAAATGATGTCTCGTATACAAATTCTTCAGTTTATGAAGTGATTTTGTTTGTAATTTTAGGCCCTGTATTGTTTCCTTTACAGATGAAGATCTGCGTCGTCACCATTCTGTCAATCGCCCTCCTTCTGGGTAAATCTGTAAAGCTTCGAGCTTCCGTTACTGGGCCGGTTCCCTCGGACGGTGATGGTCCTGCGTCTCAGGTGTGTCAGCAGTGCTGCCAGGGACCTGCTGCAATACCCGGCATACCAGGTCTGCCTGGGCCAGTAGGACCGATGGGGCCGTACGGTCAGCCGGGGTCAAAGGGCGATGCAGGTCAGCAAGGTGAGATTGGCCCTATTGGACCTATGGGTGAGCGGGGAGCACCTGGGAACACTGGGTCTAAAGGTGAGAATGGGATTGGTCTGCCCGGCAAGATAGGTCCGAGAGGGCTACCTGGTTTTGTTGGAGGAACTGGGGAAACTGGTGTCAAAGGTCAGAAGGGTCAGCCAGGGGAGACACCAGACGACTCCAACCAGCGGGTGGCATTCACCGTGGTGAGGACGAGCCACTCGGATACCTCTACGAGTCACCACACCCGTTTGCCATTCCAGCAGGCCGAGACCCTTTTGCCGGGTACCAGCTTCGATCTCGAGACCGGCACGTTCACATGTAGTGTGCCGGGCATCTACGTATTTACGTTTTCTGTTCTTAAGTATAGCAACAGCGATGTCCTTTACATCCATCTTGTTAAAAACAACTCCAAGGTTATCAGTACCTATTGTCACTCAAATCAACGTGGTCAGTTGTCTGGGAGCGCGGTGCTGGTTCTGCAGCGAGGAGACACGGTGTATCTTACCATGTACGGTAGGGTTCGGAGTTTTTCGACCGAACACTACACCTCATTCAGTGGCTTCCTCCTTTTCTCTGAATAAATAAATAATTAGCATAATAAAATGAAATCACAATGCATAAATATACCGGAGTAGTGCTGCTCATTTATGTTACGGTTTCCATTTTGCTAAAAGAGTAACCAATGAATTAAAAACAGTTCAATGTCATGATAATTAGAAAGATAATTGATTTTTAATACATAACATTTTACATTAAAGAATCGAAACGCTTTACAATACATCAAAACTACATAAAATAGTTACATATATGAATTTTTAAAAATAAGGTATTAGCTTCGATAAAAAACTCGAAAATCATTATTTTTTGCTCGAATTACGTGGAAGTCTGCACGGTCACTGTTAGGAACTTTAGGAAGGTAGAACCCCATCACAGATTTTAGTGCGAAATGTTAAACGCATGAACTGATATTTACTCTGCGAGGTACCGTACTGCTGACATACCATGGCGGATAATTTTGAAAAGTACCGAAGAATCTCGAATTCAACCTGCACCATAACCGTGAGCTGAAGCAAGGGTGTCATGTCTGCTTGACGACCCTTCCTTGAGTTTTTTTTGTTCTGGTAATCGTATGGAAACAAATAACTTTCACAATAATCTGTCAAGATACAAGACAACAATTTGTCTTGTATCTCATGATATACAATGTCATGTGTAATATATTGTTTACTTTATGTTAAAACTTGAGTTTTACAGCTTTTACTATGATGACATTGTTTACGATTTAATTATAGTTAATAATGTGATACTATCAGCGAATTACTAAGTTATGATTCTGTGATAGCATAAATTTGATTCTAATAAACGTTTTTTTTTTTCTTCAAGTTTATAATTAAGGATGTATCTCTGTTAAACAGCTTAAGCAGGCCCGGATTAAGTGTTTCGTAGGCCCTAGGTACCAGTGTTCCGAAGAAAGGAGAAGGAATTGGAAAGGAAGAGGGAATATAAACACAGTGGAGAATGTAAATAATAAACACCGCTGCTAAAAACTCCACATAGCTAAAATCAGGTTCTGCAACCCATGGCAAAAGAGAGTACATTCTGTCATGTCGGCGCAAGCTGCCGCGCGAAATCGCTTCATATACGGGCGTTCAAAACATAAGCACGTGCTCGCTCGCAGGCAGTTACGAATTGAGCTGATTCTTATTAGTGACGACTCAAAATAACGAGGTCATATTTCGATAGAAATTCAAGCTACAATTTTGATATTTGCGGCACAGAGCATTTGCAATCCAAAAATTTCCCGGGGCTCTTAAGCGTCCCCAGACCCCACACCTTCAGGGCATTTCGCTCGCATATAAAGAAGTCCACTATATAGGATTAAAAGACGCCCCCTCCCTGCAGTCTGGGATTAGAGAACAGGCCTGAACAAGGTATGCGCAAAGGTACTGAGCATGTACATGCAGTTTCATGCAGTTTGATTGCGACAATGAAATAAAAACATTATAGCTGGATTGAATTTTGTATTTTCCAGCAATTTTAGCAATAAATTTCGAACGATTACAGTACAATTGCAAGCTCTCAATATAACAAATTAACAATTCTTGCAATTGTTCTCCGATAGAAAAGAAAGAAAATAAAACAAATAGTTATGTGGCGATGGCCAAGTCTTCAGGAGTCGGACTTATGACCCTAACTCAATGAGCCCCTTACCGACTTCCAATATAGAACTCTTTTGGGACTCGGTACACGGCCCACCACACCTCCTTCCTTGTCCATCCATGTAACTCGAAAGTCAGGCACCATAAAGGGAGGAAACGAGGTGGCACCCTTAGCCTTGCTGCCGAGTCAGTAAAAGAAATCCCGTACCTATACACAGATGCCAACCTGGATTTCGCAGACAGTCCCAACTTGTGAGTCAGCTTACCGACCGACCGAATTAGCTAACTGCTAATAGTAAATGAGTACGGGAAATTAATAATCTTAAAATGACAGAAGCGCGGGCATCGAAAACCAAAAATTTAAACCAAGCAGGTTCGAACCCCTAACCCTGGGTCCACTGTCAGACAGCTTAACAACTAGGCTATTTCAATAGGTGCTTTTCTCGTTGAGTTTAAAACATAATCCTTATTTCCGCAGTGGGAGCGTTACTTTGTGTTTCATAGCTGCACAAAAGGTACATCAGCATTGCACTATACACATGAATTTTTTGCTACATTCAATCTTATGTACCGAGCAGTTGACTATTCAGAGTCACTACAAGCAATTAACCTTACCAAGCTCATCCTTATTCGTCTCATCAAATTCTTTCGCGTCGCGCGTCTTTCGGCCGGCACTGACATCGCGCTGATTGAGTAAAATTCTAGCAAGGTTTCCCTGCCTCATTATATTTATATCAAACTACTGACTGTTTACAAATATAGGTTTTCCCGGCGGATTTCCGAATCTTCTAATCGGTTTCATTATCAGCCATTCAATTTCACCTGAGTTTTGAACATGTGGTCAAATTAGGGTTCCTTTTTCATTTTGGTTTCATCCAATTTCATTTTTAGGCAGCCAAGATTTTACTCTGAATGTTCTTTTTCGTTTTCGGGCATCCTATTTCGTTTTGGTGCATTCAAGACAGAATTTGTAGCAGTCTTTAATTAACTCTTTGCAACCTTTTGGCGGTAGAGGCATTCAAATTAGCGAACATCTGTGCGCTTATAACGTATAACCATGCTTTTCGTTTCTTATTCATTTATGGGCAATCGATTTCATCGTTTGGTCATTTAAATTAGAAACGAAATTTAATGGATATATTTTCATATGTTCATTTCCCCCCAAAAATCTGGATGACTGTAAAATTTACAAATGTTACAAATTAACTAATATGAGGGAAATAAGATGTAACGAAATAATTAATTGAAAGGGACTAAGATAATTTCTTTTTCCCTGTGATCTTTTCTACTTGTTTAAACGTTTGAGCAAGTGGCATCTGTACGTTGACGATTTCTTGACGTGCAAGACATCGGGACAGGTATGTTTGGCATTGATTGTGCTTCGGGAACACTTATTTCTTAAATGTTTTCTTGCATATACTGACCACCTACTGTATTCAAAGGGCCCATGCAAAGTACCTTTTCAATGCAAACCTTAAAAATACATCTTTGTGTCACATTTATTGATGACAACGAATGATGACAACGAATGCCCAATCAACCTCTTCCTGCTGGTTTTAGACAAATTGAATAAACAACGCAATACTTTTAATATGAATGCATCTTTGATAGAGACGAGTGAAGCTAAAAGGCGATAGAATGCTCGGATAGCGAAATTGAATGATTCTATTTAATTGTCAAATGCAGATCTGCGTGATCTTTCAATTTCAATCTAAATCGAATGAGCCAGGCGTTAAATTGAATGAAAACTTGGCCGGGAAAACCTATATTTACTAGCCTAGGGAATGTTGTTTGTCTGACTCTAATTCAGCTCCCTTAGCTATCTAGCTTGGGAAAATTCGTCTTTTCTTGAACATACACTAAGTCTAGGATGCCATTATTATACAATGTTACATTAACGTCAATCGGTGGCATGATTATAATCGTGACCCTGCGAGTGCAATGACGGCCAGTGGCGTAAAGCTGTGCCGGCGAGGGGGGGAGGGGGGCGCTAGGGGGATGGGGGATGACCAAAATCGTAAAATTTGGGCGATTCACAATGCAGTGCGCCACCAAGAGTTTGCCACGCAGAGAATGTTTTTCAAATTTACGGTCAACCAAACGAGGCCCAGTGTCATTAAACAACTTTAGCTAATTGGTTATGAATTTGGGTATAGCGTTCTGCCGCCTTACTATATAAAAAACAACATGTTGATAAAAACAAATTCTGCCTTCACCAAAACAAATTCTGCCCCATCAAAAAAATCAATTTGCTTCGAGCCCTTGAGTTAGATATTCATTTTTGAGATGTAAACTCATCAAGAGAATGTCACTCATCACACCCGCGCCAAAAACTGTCTGCTTCATAGTGCTCCTAAAAGTACCATCGCTGATTTGTAAACATCTGGCCGTCATTCTGGAAAGATATAGAATAGGATTTTTCTGTCTCCTCCTTCATTTATAATACAGACGAAATACAATAAGAATGTTTTATGTGTTCCGGTTTTTCTGCATCTGCTTTGGATCAACCAGGCCCTGTCGAATTTAAAAAGAAAGAAAGAAGATATCGTACCAGTGTGAGAACAATACAAGACGTTCGTAATGGGGCTGCCGTCCACTGCGTGTCCTGCTGGATAGAGTCCGCTGCCACGTGATGAGCTTTGTGAGGCCGGCTTGCCAAAGATACAGAACGGCACTGGAAATGTTTGAAAACAATTTCAGACGGAACACGTCAAATCAAAATTGTGATTAGACGTGGTATATTGTAGGTAATATTTCAATCGAGATGTGTGGGCTTTTAAACTGGATGCGAAACCTTTGAACAAAATTCTTTACTTGTTTTCCAATTATGGTTCTTTTTGGCGGCGGGATACCGGGAGTAGGGTTGGAGCCAAGGGGTGAGAGGCCCTATCCCAAAAGCAACAGATTGAACATCGGTCTTATAACTCTTTCAGAAAAAGGAACCAAGTTTAGTCTAGAAAACGCATCCGCTGAAGGTTCATTTAAGGATCATCCGTGCGGCTCTTTTTAGACACTTATTGAGAATGCTGCCTTGAGATATGTACCTTCTTCCCCATACAGTACAACAGTATTCTCAAGTTCGAATAACTAAGTTTACACAAAGTGTGTGCAGGCTGCTTTGTGTATCATAGTCTCAAATTCTGTTTAACATACCCAGTTTATACGAAATTGATTTCCTGACGTATTCAACGTGTGTGACCCAACTTAGTGTTTTATCACTAGTAACTCCCCAGCATTTACAACACTTTGCTTTAACTATAAGAGTATCAACAATGTAAACTGTCCTATGTTGGAGATGTGCTGTCTTGAACCAATAAGCATGTATTTTGTTGTGTTGTCATTTAGTGCAAGTTCGTTTCTTATGCACCAATTGTGAATTGTAATCAAGAGATGTATTCAGAATTCTTTTC